GCCTGGAGTTTCAGTCTACAGATACACTTTCTGGAGAAAAAGGGCAGCGAGCAAAAACACAGAACAGTGGAAGATCGATACCCCGTAACTGGGCAATGGAAAAAACGACACGGTGTGCAAAAGCGCCACCAAGAGGTTCTTCTGCCGTAGCCCAAAGACGATTTCCCCCCTGTGCCGCTCGGGCATATTCTTAATACTCTGTGAGCATAAGCCAATACCCAAAACGCATGAGCAAGCTCGCTGCTGCAATGTCAGTGAGCATTCCAAATGGAAAATAAAAAAAATTATAACTTTTTTTTTTTTTAAGGGTTCCTTTAATAGAAGGGGGTGGTGGAGTTGGGGAGGAGGGTAATGGTGGAAAGATATACCTGCAGTACATGCAGGTTTTGACAACATAACTTTAAATGTTGTGGCAACAGAAAACAAGATTGCTGCCCAGTCCAGATCTGGAAAATGTTAAATTCCACTTTATCAGCCACTGAAGCAGTATCGTGAGGGATCTGTTGCTGAACTGCCTCATACCAAAATCTATGCAATCCTATTTTTTTCCTATAAAAAGCAATTGTGAGATTCAAATAGTAGTAATATTTTTGTACTGTGACGTTGGAGACCATTTTTAAAGGTAAGCAGACATTGTCTTCAGATGTTTTCATCATGGTGAGAAAGCCAATTTCATCCTCATCACTGCCATTTTTTGAGCTGAAGGGAACGAGCTAAAAAGCCATAGATTTTTCATTCCTCTACAATGTTAATAACCAAAGGGTAATCCCTCAAGCTCCAAATTTTTGCTCTCTTTCTTAGAGAGCCCCTGAGGTCAGGATCTCCCTTATGTGCTTGGACTGGCTACTCCCACCAGTAAATGTCAGTGGGGCTGGACTCCCTTCAGGGGTGAAAGCAGCACCTAGCTGCTTGGGAAAGGTGGCAGCTTTGTGCTGGGTAAGGCTTGGCTGCCCTCCATGAGTCCATGGCTCCCTCTGCAAATCCTTGCTCTCACAGTGGCAAATAATCCATCCTGGTCTTACCATCTTCCACAGTGGGAATCCAACCTGTGGGCTACCCAGGAGCTGAAAGCTCAGCATTTTCTGCAGAAAGAGGAGAAAGGTTGAGACACAGCCTTGAACTGAGCCTCCCAGTTCCCAGGCAAGTATGCAGGCATCCCAGGGAGGTCTCAGATGTGTCAGGCTGCAAGCCACCTAAAGTCAGAACTTGGAGCATGAGCTAGATGGTCTCTGCAGGTTATCTCCAGCCACAGTTATTTCATGCTAATGATTCTGCAACTGAAAAGGATGATGATGCCTGAAGGTCAGTGTGAGAGGAATACGGGGCTCAGGCTGGAAGAAGCCATCAGTGATGGCAGTTTTTGCCTCAAAGCTCATCACATCACCAAAACATCTCATGGGGTCAAGGCAGGGAAGCAAAGAGGCTCCCACATACAGTACATAGCCAGATAAGGGACTAAGTGATCTCAAGGCAGCAGATATAGAAAAATATGCAACAGATTGACAAATTCATACACTTTATTTCTGCCTCTGTTGAAGCAAGTGTCTGCCTGCTCTTTAGCAGACAGGCAAGTGTCAATACATTTTCCTTTTTCCACTTCTCAGCTTCCAGGACTGGTCAGAAAAAGGTATAGAAGTTCTGAGTTCATATCAAGGCTAGAAAACAAAGGGGAGCAGCACCACGGCTTTAACTCAGATGGCACAGAGCAGGCACACTCCTTAGAATGAAACACTTCACTCAACTGCCTGCAAGCACCAAGGAGTGCAGTCATTTTCCCCACAGTTCATTCATTTTCACCACCATCCATCAGGTAACATTTACTAAGGTTGGGGAATAGGGGGCACTGGAGCTGGGGGTCTTTCTTTCCAGGCAGTTCATTCTCTCATCTAACTCCCAAGATTTAAGGTGATTTAAGCACTCGAGGATTAGTGCATTTTAACAGCTTATATAGATTTAAGCGTCTAAAGTGGCTTAAATGCTTATGTTACTTTCAAGGCTTTAAAGTAGCTTAACTATCCATGGCACTTGTTGAATTTACAGGTGCTCAAAAGCCTATCCTCCCTTTAAAATAATAAAAATACACCTTAATATATTAAAAAATATACCTTAAAACGTTGCATTTTAGGAGTGTCATCGTCCTTGGCTCCTGCCAGGTCGGACCAGGTCTCCCAGCCCTTTATCCGGGAGGGTGGCCAAACCCTCCTCCCGTCCGCCTTTCCCGGGAGGTGGATCTCAGCGCCCTTACCTGGCGGCACCGCGCCTACGCTAAAGAGGCGGGGCCCCACCCGCTGAGTTAAACTCTCAGGGGTGAAGAGGGGAGGAACCAGCTCGTTAGTTTCGTTCCCATTTAAGCGTGAGACAATGGATGTTTATTGGCCCGAGCGCGTGTTGCGGGACACCCCCGCCCGAACCCCCGGGAGCGCTCCCGGCCCGTGCACATCCCATCCCCGGCCCCGACGTGTGCCCGGCAGCCAAGGAGGGCAACAGCACGCGGGTCAGAACGAAACACACCCCCGCCGTCCAGCGCCAGCCCCACCCTCCCAACCCACGCTGCAGGCGGAGCGCGGCCGGGCCAGCAGGGCGAGCATCATCCGGACCCTGGGAAGGGCGCAGGTTTCCTGGCCTCGGGAACCGGTCCCTGCAGAGCGCCCTACGATGGCGAACGGGCCCTGCTGACCTGCAGCGACCGCCAACAGCATTGGGGTCCGCAGGCTGGGAACGCCGTGCCCTAGCTGGCAGCCCCACGCTCCGGCGCTTTTACCTGCAAGGGATCAGAACCAGAGCATCAATGATTGCTCGGGTCTGTAGGATTCGGTTTTGTTCACATGATCTCGGATCATTTCAAGTTTATAGTAAATGAGTTCACCAGGAGCGATTAAAAATGGAAATAGTAAGGTCTCAATAAAACCTCATTTAAAATCAAAGCTTAATCCAGGAAAAAAAAAAAAGTGTGGTTTTCCTGCTTATTTCCTGTGGGCTGGAAACAAACAAGTTCTGGTGAAAAAAATGAGCAAGTTTCTGTCGGAAATGTGTCATCCTCCACCACAGAGAATGGTTATTATCTCTAGTCTAAACAGTCTGCTCAGATTTGGGTTTTTGCTTCCATATAGCCTAGCTGGCTGGATCTGTGGAAGAAAGTAGCATACAGGGAATTTATGGAGCAGGCAAATTGTTTTCTGATCATGCTGAGATCCACCTGAAGGCTTATCAATGACTCCAAAAAACAACAAGCAGCGAAAAAAGGAGAGAGAAAAACAAACCACAAAGTTGTCCATTTTATAAAGACTTGGTGAATAGCCCAGCCATTGAGGGTAAGAGCAAACCTGTTGGTAGATTTCCTTCCAATGAAGAGAAGTTTTGGGACAGAGGCTGGTGGAACCAACACTGGGAGCCGGAAGGGACATTTCCAGCAAGTGGCAAAGGCTACAGCCTCCGGCAATCCTTAGGACTTGGCAAAACAGGGTTAAAATGGGCACTACGTCATCAGTGGGGCTGAGTACCATGGAAGGCAACTGAGGCGAAGAGATTACACATGTACTATTTAAAGTATGACCTGAACACAGACAATAAATGGCAAGGTTATGTGGCTCTGTAAGAAATAAACTACTTCTAAGCCCTTCCACAAGTAATACTAGATATTAAGGACATTTATTTTCCAGGTATCAAACAACTTTAAGATAAAAACTGGCCTACAAGGTGATTACATTCATCAGTTTGGCCCACTGAAAAGGATCTCTGAAAGTGCTGGTACTGGCTTCAGCATGTGAAAACAGCCTGCCTGGGGCAGCACTGCAGCCACTCCAGCATGGCAACCCCATGACTTCCTGGTGGGAATGCTTCAGGTCTCATCTCTTTCCTATGCCACAAGCAGTGACTCACATCTCTGGGAAGCCCAGTCTGGAAAAGGGACATACAGGGATCCTGCAATTTACAGAAGTCATCATGGCTAAGGCTAGCTTCCCATAAAACATCTCTAGAAGGAGAAGTATTCAGTAGCTGATTAATGAATGTGGTTTACCACAAAATGATACTACACAGGCCTACTCTTTTCAATAATAATCCCATAAATAATATTACTAAAAATCCAAGAATTATCCAAAGCACACTGAAGCCGCATTGTGATCCCAGTGCCTTGCCTGTTGTCTTCTCCTTGGTGGTAAATCAACACTAACACAATTCTTTACGGGAGTTTCTAGGTGAAGACAGGAGTGAAGGGAAAGTGATGTGCCTATGCTGTGCAGAGCCAGGCCCACGCTTTTAGCTCCAGAAAAACGTGCCAGGTGACAGTATTCCAGAAGGACTTGGATGCTCCCACCCAGGGAAAACCCCCATTGGCAGTCGGAGGCCATCCAAGGGCTGTACTGCCGGGGTCCGCTGCAGGCCCTCGCTCCTCGCAGGGGAGAGCCAGGGGCAGGACAGGCTGGAGGGGGGCAGAAGGGCCCGCTGGGCAGCCTCCCGGGCTGGGCGCTGTCGAGCCGGAGGGGGATCGGGAGCGCCCGCAGTCCCCAGTTGATGCATGCGGCAGGGCCGAGCCCTGCCAGCATCGCAAAGAGGGGGCGGAGGTGCCAGACACCCCCCGGGGGCTGAGGGAGCAGCCAGCCTCGCCCCCTGTCTGGAAACTGGCCCGGCCACATCGCCCGTCCGCTGGCAGTGAGAGCGCCAGACGTGGTCGTGGGGGGCACGGGAGAGCGGGGGTCCCGCCGCTCCGCAGTAGCTGGGCCAGCGGCAAAGCTCACCTCCAGCTACCCGCGGCCTGGGGGCGGCCCCGCGCCCCCTGCCTGGCCCAGCAGCTCCTCGGGCTTCTTTGTTCGCCGGGATCTTTCCCTCCTTCCCCATGCTCGCACGGTAACGTTCCTTGCAAGGATTTCCTGCCAAAAGACAATCCCCCTGAGCAAAAGCAGACCGAGAAAGTAGTGACCAATCCTTTCTGGATGGCTGTCACCAGGCTCCTCCCAGCTCCCGCTCCCCCTGCCATTTGCATACAAAAAAATCCAGAAAACTCCCGTTTGCCCCAGCACCTCGCTCAGACCCTCCGTCCCCGCCTGGCAGCAGGAGCCCGGGCTGGGGGACGCTGCCTGCGGCTGAGGGCAGCGTCGCGCCGCCCGCCCCGCCACCCCGGCCCCCGAGCCTTTCGCCAGCCCCCCCCGCCACCTTCTCCGCTCCCCAAAATGCAGCGCCGCCTCTGCGCCTTGCTCCTGCTGGCGTCCCACTGCATGGGCTCGGCCGCCGGCATCTTCCCCTTCGGGGAGCCCGACTTCTCCTACAAGCGCTCCAACTGCAAGCCCATCCCCGCCCCGATGCTGCTGTGCCGGGGCATCGAGTACCAGAGCATGCGGCTACCCAACCTCCTGGGGCATGAGACGGTGCAGGAGGTGCTGGAGCAGGCCTCCACCTGGATCCCGCTGGTGCAGAAGCAGTGCCACCCCGACACCAGGAAGTTCCTCTGCTCCCTCTTTGCCCCCGTCTGCATCGACGACCTGGACGAGATCATTCAGCCCTGCCACTCGCTCTGCGAGGAGGTGAAGGAGAGGTGCGCCCCGGTGATGTCCGCCTTCGGCTTCCCCTGGCCCGACATGCTGGACTGCAGCCGCTTCCCCAAGGACAACGACCTGTGCATCCCGCTGGCCAGCAGCGACCACATTCTCCCCGTCACCAGGGAAGGTAAGAAGAAGCCGCCGGGCCTCCCCCTGTTCGGCAGCATCTGTCCCCGATGAGCCGGCCCGACAGCGGGGTCCCTCCACGGCTTCCCGTAGGGGAACGAAGGCGTTTTACTTGCGTTACAGCACGCCCCGGTGCTCTGGGACGGGGGGACCGGGAGGTGGACGCAGGACAGGCTCAGGGAGGTTTTCCCGAGGGGACCGGGGAAACCGTTAGCACCGTCGGGGAAATGGCACTGTCCCGCACCCGTCTCCATTCCCCAAATAAAAGGTCTGGGACCCAGAACTGGAGCCGCGTGGCTCCCAGGGGATCAGATCTCCTTGTGCATGTTTCGTCGCTGAAGCGGGGAGCTGGGGTGCTTCTGTGTCGTGTACTCGCCTCCCCGGCCCAACCCCCTCTCTTACTCATTTCCCCGTTAAAACAAAAACTTTTGGTGGAGGTGTGACCTTGAAAACAGACCCGGACCCCGGTAGCGGGTCTGCAGCAAGGTAAAGCCGCCTCAAAGTACTCGGGCAGCTCTGGAGCTGGGGGAGAAGGAGCAGTGTCTGGGGTGAAGGGATGGAAAACCGACGTTTCCCAAAGGGGTCCCAACGCCACCTGCTGTTCCTTTCTCCCCGAGCCTGACGGGGACTGTTGCTTGCATTTCCAGCACCCAAGGTCTGTGATGCCTGCAAAAACAAAAATGAAGATGATAATGACATCGTGGAAAACCTCTGCAAAAACGACTTTGGTAAGTGGAAGCAGAGTTCCTCTCGGTTGAAACTTGAAAGTCGAGGATCAGGTACAATTCCCAATGGAGCTAGTGAAAGATGTGCCTGAATAAAGGCGGGGCTTTGACCTGAAACACAAAATTCATGAAACACAAAATTCCACCTTGGAATTAAAAGTAGCCCTTTTTATTGTTCTTTTCTGTTTACTGTTTTGAAGTAGTGCTCTTTTATGTGGATGTGGATGTTGCTGGCAAGCCCAATAGAAAGTAAAATGAAAAAGGAAAAAAAAAACTTTCATGCAGACTGTTGCCTGGGGAGAAGTGGAGCAAAGCTTCATTTAGACATTTGAGACAGAGCTGCATGACCAATCTCAATGTGTCATAAGAAAGACTCTCTGCGCAGATTAAGAATGAAGCTCTATATATCATTTGACAGAGAAGGTAATGCACAGACAATTGGGGATATAAACTTAATGGGAAGATCTGGGGTTAGAAGAGGACAAGAAAGCTCCTTGGACACAGACAACTGAAGGACACATTATCCACACATTAGCATTTCAAAAGCGAAAGGGAATGAGGAGGGGAATCCTTTTACAATAGGTCAATGTTTATACCTGGAAACAGATTTGTAGTATAAGTATCTACAGCAATTCAAAAACCTTTTTTTTTTTAAAAAAAAAAAAAGCCAAACAAACAAAAAAACCACAACCACCCGAACCCTGAAACCATGATTGTGGGACATAATTACTAAAACAACCAATAGCTTTGGCCTGGCAAATTGCACTCAGATAAATCCTCCTAAAGCTAAACATGCCCCACAGAGTCTTACAGAGCCCTGTATCCCCCTCCTAGTTATTTTACCAAATCGAATGCAGCTGTTGGACCAATTTGCCCTCCATGGGATCTATTCTTTCAAAAAAACAATGCATGTGAAATATCATTTCCTTACAGGTTTGCCTAAAATCCTCTCCAGCCTAATAAATTAAGTGTAGAAGTTTTGAGCTGCAGTAGAGATCAGGTTTCTTGCTCTAGGTACTTGCCTCCCCACCTCCCCTTAAACGCTACTTTCGGGAAGGCTGTCCTCTTCCAGAAAAAAATTGGTGCTCTGCTTAATGTAGCAAACCTGCTCTCTCCCTGTTGCAAACACGAGAAAAGCTGGAGAAAATATTAATTTAGAAAGGAAGGGAAAAGAGGGGGAGGGGAAAGAGGAGAAAAGAAAACCAAAAAACCTCAACCCTAAGGCTGATTCAAACTGAAATGACTTGCATGCCCTTTGTGGCTTTAGAAATGGAGCCACCTGCTGCCTCTTCTGTCAGCCCTGACAGTTTAATTAGCAATAGAGCACCTCCCTCCCCAGGTCCTCTTTATGTTCACTAATGGGAAAAAACCCTCTCAATCTCTCTCTCTCTCCCCACTTCCCCCTCCCCTCGCTCTATTAGCCTTGAAGATAAAAGTGAAGGAGATTGCCTACATCAATGGGGATACCAAGATCACCCCCGAAACAAAGAGCAAAACCATCTACAAGCTGAATGGGCTGACAGAAAGGGATCTGAGGAAGATAGTGCTCTGGCTCAAAGGTGGCCTCCAGTGTACCTGCGATGAGATGAACGACATCAACGTCCCCTACTTGGTGATGGGGCAGAAGCAAGCTGGGGAACTCGTGATCACCTCGCTGAAGCGGTGGCAGAAAGGGCAGCGGGCTTTCAAGCGGTTCTCCCGCAGCATCCGCAAACTACAGTGTTAGTGGCTTCACCTCTGGCTGTCACCAGCAGCCGCCTCTGTCCCAAACTCTCTGGGCCCCCCGCACCTTCCTGCTTTGGCTCCTCTGAGCCTCAAGATGCCGTGGGCACAAGGCACAGTGACCGCTCTCCGAGAGGGGAGGATCCCTCCGTTTTTGTACATAAGTTAAAATGTAATAATAATAAAAATAATTAAAAAAAAAAGGACTATTTTTGGGAAGTGTTACAGTCTCTCGCTTAAAGCTTGGGGGTTTTATGGTTGTTCTGAGGTCTTCCCCCCTCTTCATTTTGGTAATGCTGGTTCATTTATATTGCGGCTTCTCTGTATATGTGCATGTTTGTTGTGCAAAAGTAGGAGATGCAGAGAAAGACAGCCACGTGTGCGACTGGCCTGTCACGGTGGGTGCCACTCTTTCACTGAGGTGAAATGGCTTGCCATCTATATTAATGCTATAAAGGTCACATTACGACTCTTGCATGCAATACATAGGCACCCGTAAGAGTATATTAACCATTCTCACATTTTATTTTCCACAAGTCTGAGCCCTCTCTCTCAGAAAAAAAAGAACAAGTTTTGGAGCTGGTTGATCTGAATGCAACTTTTTTATTATTATTTTGCAAATTAAACCATCTGTAGCCTAACTGTAATATACCTAGTGGTTAACCTGAAAGAGTTGTAAAATATTGCTTTAATTAACCTTGTAAATACTCCAGATGAATGTTATATTCTTGTATATAAACTTTACATCACAGTTTATTCATTGTCTCTGTCTGTATTCACTTTAATCCATTTCTGGAGACCTGGGAGAAAGCTGTCCAACTGGGCTTTGACATAGCAAAGTAGAATTTGGCATTCCAATTGCAGTGATTGGTGGAAAACCACAAGGAAGCCTCTAGTGCTGCAATCAGAATAAACATAGTGGACCTCATTTCCCAAAGAGGAACCCCTGAGACACAGGACTGAGGTTCAGTCCATTCATTTTAATATGTGTCTGTTGAGCTCTTTGAGATGAGGCTTCTTTTCTGTGGCTCCTTTGTTCGACCGCCTGCGTTTTCATCTCATCTTCTCAGAGGACTCTGCTGATGTGGAATTGCAACAGGACCACTTTCTTAAAAATCAAATCCATTTTTCCATTTCTTGAAAAAGACATTTTAAGGAGTGTAAAAGCAGACAGAAAAATGTTGCTTGCAACTTGCAATTCAGAATAATGGTAGAGCAAGGGGGTTTTTTGTGTGTATGTACACTCACTATTCTTACTGAGAAAGAAAATAAAACCTACCTAATAATGGAACTAAACAAATGTTTTTCAGCATTTTTCTTAAAAATCTTTTCTGATGAAGAGTATTACCTGAATTTTATTGTACTTATCCTGAAAAACAATCTTGCTTCCCAGTGCTGTTACACATAGAATATTCTTCTTAGCTTCACTGACAGGATGAGCAGTCCCATATTCCCAAGGACAATATTTTATGTTAATTGTTCACATACAGAATACAATGTCAACACTAGATTTTTCTTTAAAGTGAAAAAATCACATTGTTTTCATAAATTTGTTATTTTTTCCTCATCAGGATAAAAAGATAAAATTAATCATTTGGCCTCTCCCATAGTCTTTGTGCACTCACTACACCTGATACAAACAATACAGTGGTAAGATGCTGGCTAAGCAAGAAAAAACAGTCCTCACAAATGTCCTCAAAAGTATAAGAATTTAAAAAAAAAAAATTAAAAAAGTAGCAAACCACCAAACAAAAAGACCCATTTCAAACTGGCTCTTAACTACTTTGTGGAGCAGTATCCGTATTTAAAAGCCAATACCTTGCTGAAATGTCATTAAAACTTTTCTTCTGAATGAACCTGACTTACCAGGAAACTGATTTGAGTCTTTTCATGCTGTGGTGTAGTTACATTAATACCAGCACTATATCCATTGCCTTACAGAGCCGTTAGCACTCGGAAGTCTTATCGCTCCCACCCATTCTGCTTATCATATAATGTAATACCTGTGCCTGGACAGCCTTGGATTTAGAGGGAACAAGCTCACAAATGAAGAGGAGCTGGCTGATGATGAACCTGAAGAAAAAAAGTGTGTATGCCTAGTGCAGGAAAGCACTTTGAAGAGGCAGTTGATGCAGTGCAGTCTCTGGGGACCAAAACCTAACAGCCAGGACTGCTCCACACAGCCTGCCTTACAGATACTAAGTCATGCTACAGCAACATAAAATTATCTTAATTGGGCTGTCCTAGAAGGCAGCAGTACTGATGCTGATGAGGATAGACAGGTCACAAGTTACTGACTGTGGGGTCACGTTAAGGCCAAGACTACATAACCGATTTTTACCAAATTACTAGATCTATGAAGACATATTACCTATGACCAATATTGCCCTTTCTTAAAAAAAAAAAAAAAAAAAAAAAAAAAGAAAACCACCAAACAAACCACATTCCCTTTCCTCTATCACAAAATAAACACTGTTACACCAGCAAAATCCTGTTCCTGTCAGGACAAATTCAGGAGAAGAAGAACAAATTAGACTGGCAAACATTTAATTTAACTAATATAATCAGCGTCCTGGATGAAGAGCATCCTGCCATAGAGCACACCCCTGCTGATAAAACTTTCTGCATGTGGCCCTTGACTGAATCACTGTGACTATCCACCCTCAGGGTGAATTGGCAGAGAGAGGATTACCTTTCAGATAAGCAGGATTTAGGCAAATGTCAAGAGTAACCTTTACCCAAAGTTCCATTACCTTGTTCTAACAGTATTGTGTTAAAAGATGGGTCATATCCACCTCAGCAAGAAGAGGAGTGTCAGTGTTTGTTACACTGTTTCTAAAGGTGTAAAAGCCAGACATTGCAAACTATTCAAACGAAAATTAGGATTTTAAAGTCGCAGCCTGAAGAAACTTCATCTCTCAGATATTGGCAAAGAAGTAAACACATACATTTTTACTGTTATTCTTACTTGTTCAAAAAAAAAAAAAAAAAAAAAAAGAAAGAAAAAGAAAAAATTTGACTGTGCCAGAAAAATACTGAGCCAAACATAACAAAAATTATCAGAGATTCTTACTTCTCATAATTGTGCCACATGTACTGCAGAGTACCTTTATTACCTGATATGGTATGGCTCACTCCTAACAAATTTTTTTTGCAATTGATGAAAAAAGGCAACCCACTGTTGCATTTTTCAGACACTTTTTGTCTTTTTGTCTTTTTCTAATTAACATTGTTAGGCAGCCAGTTATGTAGCTCCCATTGTATTTGCTTTCATAAAAACTATAAAAGCAGCTGACTACAATGGATTCGTTTAAGAACAATAATAATGACACTTGACATTTATACAGAAGTTTCCATTTAGTTTCTCAGACTGCCTTTACAAAAAGAGGCATTAATATCCTTCTTTTGCAGATCAGGAAAATGAGGCACAGTGAAGTGAAATAACTCATTCAAAACCACCCAGCAAGTTCTTTACGGTCAAGAAAAACAGTGTATTTTTTGTCTCCAAGTTTTATGCTCTAATCACTAGCCCACAGCAATCAGAATGATGTATAATTAAGGCAGCACTTAGATTATAATTTGAAAGCATAACAGCAACCAAGACTCCCTCCAACTTCTTCCCACCAAGTGTGAAAAAAAATTACTGCCCAAATTCAACTTTAAAACCCATCAGCAATAGCAGTATTCCTCACAGTCTTTTCCTTTCTTTCATATTTATCATTCTCTTTACCCTTTTGTTATTTCTCAATCCTTTGTTTTCTCCTGCACTTCTCACTCACTTCAGATACCCACAGAGAAGCCACTCTTCCTCTCTCTTGCCCCCCTCATACAGACACTTTTGCCCTCAGTATGGTGTAGTAAAGAACTCATGCAGTACAATTACACACAAGCCACAAAAATCCTAATGACCAGATTAAGACATAAAAAAACCCATGTGGGAAATTCAGCAAGTGACATTTAAATTTAATTAATGACTCTCTGTGAAGACAGGAGGGTGGTTAGATGCCACATGGAGCATCACATGCACGTGCTGGTCACCTCAGGCCGCTATTCCTATTCTGCAGCAGAATAGAAAGATATTTAAGGAATATATGAGCAAGAATTAAGAACACACAGATAAAGTACACCTTCCCTCACATGACCAGGTCTCCCACACATCTCAGCCCTGTTGCTACAACCTTGTGTTCTCCAATCTGGGGCCATGGTGCACCTCTCTCAACCTTCTTTCAGATGTCTGACCTCTCTTCAGCAATCAAGGGCATCGACCAAGAGCAGAGCCAACAAGACTCAAGAATGGACCACCTCATTGTCCCCCAGGTACCTGCTGAGGCACGAGCAAGCCCCATGCAGCCAGCAAGGCAGGTCTTTTTTGGCTGCTTTGGCAGCCCACTGCCATCCTCACCAACCCTACTGGCGCTGTGAGCCTTTTCCACGTGGCCACAGTTGGGAATACCAGAGGAAGGCCTATGGATTGAGTGCTACCAGAGCAGTGGGCAACCTTCCTTAGGTTGGGCAGCCCAGGCTTTTGTTACTGGAGCCAGAAGTTCTTATTTCTAGGCTTCAGAGACCTGCCTGTATGATTTATCTAGAAGTTGCTTTCTTATCAGCAGATGCAGTTTCAGTACAGCCTGACTGTCTGGTGAAACAACCGCAGGAATGGATCTTGTTTGCCTCTGTAGAAAGAGGAGAGTGCAAAATATTCACATCACAGGAATCCGAGACCCCAAGCTGTCTTACAAACATAAATTAGCCCATACTATATCCCTTTGGGGTGAGTTTAATAGAGTAACGTTTTCCAAATGCATCAACCGCTTTCAGGGTGAGCCATGGGCTCCTAAATCACCTAGATGCCTTGGAAAATATTAGCCGCTATCCCTGACCGGAGTTAAAGCCAGTTGGCCGAGGTCAGCCAGCAAGCCTGTCACCCAGCCAGGAGGAACACCTCAGCAATCAGCCAGCCAGCCCATCGCTCTCACGACTGATCAAAATAACCAACCAACGCAGAAACTGCGCCGTGAAGCAGCTGATGGAGCAAACTTCAAAGCCAATTACTGCACACGCAGAGAAGCTGTCCAGCCAGAAAGACCAGCACAGGTTAGGAGGTATGCTCAGTGTCTTACAGGACAGACACATGAAAGAGCATATCTACTTTCTAAGACCTACGATAAGGCGATAATATTAACGGCAGCTCTTTCAAAACCCAAATGCGGCAGATAATCCTTTTGGAGTCATTTTCAGGCCACAAAAGTGATGATAAAATCATGGAGAATTTTCTGTTTGGACACAACAGGTTGCCATTAGAGACACAGCCAAAACTAGCAGAAACTGGCAGATTTAGGACTGACCTGAAAAGGTAGCAGAAATGCTAATTTAGGAACACTTTCAACTTTCCAGATCTTTGTTTTCAGGGCTTAACCCTGACAGTCTTCATTACACATAAAACTTCCCATATGGAGCCACTATGGAAGGACAATTTAAGAGTTTTCCATTGATATCTGCTTTTATCAGGCAAAAGATAACTAATCCTTCCCTGGCAATTTCCCTGCATTGTTAGTTAACTTCAAATCCCTAACATTGTCTAATTGCCTTTTTTGTTATGTGAATCTCCAGCCATGTACAGCAGGGAACCCTGGCTGTTTAGACATTGAGACAGGTGCTTTCGTGGCTGCAGGGCTCACTCACATCATTAGGCACACACAGAGCTATTAATTATTTCAGTTTACTCTGAGGCACAGACCTGAATTAAGTCAAGCCAC